TCTTTCGTGACATTACAAATAGATCGTCTCCTACGTGGCTTTTTTCAATGGATTAAAAAAAAAAAAAAAACAGCGAAATGTGAGGGGTGGGGATTAGATCCCCTCCTCGAGTGTTTTCTCGCCTCTTTCATGGCATTACAAACAGATCGCCTCCTACGTGGCATTACAAACAGATCGCCTCTTTCGTGGCATTACAAACAGATAGCCTCCTACGTGGCACTACAAACAGATCGCCTCCTACGTGGCATTACAAACAGATCGCATCCTACGTGGCTTTTTTTCGATGGATTTTCAAAAACAAAAAAAAAACAGCGAAATGTCAGGGGTGGGGATTCGATCCCCTCGAGTAATTTCTCGCCTCTTTCGTGGCATTACAAACAGATCGCCTCCTACGTGACATTACATACAGATCGCCTCTTTCGTGGCATTACAAACAGATCGCCTCCTACGAGGCATTACAAACAGATCGCCTCCTACGTGGCGTTTTTTCGATGGATTTTCAAAAAAAAAAACAGCGAAATGTGAGGGGTAGGGATTCGATCCCCTCCTCGAGTGTTTTCTCGCCTCTTTCGTGGCATTACAAACAGATCGCCTCTTTCGTGGCATTACAAACAGATGGCCTCCTACGTGGCTTTTTTCAATGGATTTAAAAAAAAAAAAAAACAGCGAAATGTGAGGGGTGGGGATTGGATCCCCTCCTCGAGTGTTTTCTCGCCTCTTTCGTGGCATTACAATCAGATCGCCTCCTACGTGGCATTACAAACAGATCGCCTCCTACGTGACATTACAAACAGATCGCCTCCTATGTGGCATTACAAACAGATCGCCTCCTATGTGGATTTTTTTGATGGATTTAAAAAAAAAAAAAAAAGGGAAATGTGAGGGGTGGGGTTTCGATCCCCTCCTTGAGTGTTGTTTCGCCTCTTTCGTGGCATTACAAACAGATTGCCTCCTACGTGGCATTCCAACAGATCGTCATTTTCGTGGCATTACAAACAGATCGCCTCCTACGTGGCATTACAAACAGATCGCCTCTTTCGTGGCATTACAAACAGATCGCCTCCTACGTGGCAT